GTGTGTGTGTGTTGTTGTTGTTGTGTTTGTCAGTGACTGGGCGTACATGTGTGTCTGTATAGTCCGGATAAAAAAGAAAGTAATCTCATGATGTTAGAGCTGGTGAGATATGCAGTGTGTTTGATGTCTGTGATGTGTATTGACATATGAACGAGGGACCAGAGGGAGTATATTTAGCATTGTCAGTTGAATTGCTATTTAAAGAACAGAAAAAGGCAGAGAAAGTCAGTTAATATCACATAATGACATGAAACTACATAGTGAAGACATCTGTGCTGCAGTTTTAGTTTGATATCCAGGCCCAAACAACTGGCAGTGTGTGTTTATGTGTGGGTGTGTGTCTGCATATTTCTTTCCTCCATATGGGTGTGATTTGGTCATTTGTTATTCCATGCTTGCATACTCACACACTTCTGGTTTTCTTCTACTTTGTGGTTTTCTTGTTTGTGTGGACAAAGTGTACTCGGTCCAAGCCTTGTCTGGTTTTTGCTCTCATCCAGTCATTATGCGTATCGTGCATTCGCTCTATCTGTCCCTCTCAATGATTTCAGACATGTGGCATGTTGTTGGTCCTGTCACCTGGAAAAACAACCTGTTCACCAGCAGTCAACATCCGATCTGTGACTATCCACGCGACTTGTTCAGCGTGTGTGTTTCTATTTCACTCTAGTACCAGATGTAAATATGTTCGGAGGTTGTGCCCATTGTTGTAAACTGAGGAGGCACAGAGGTGAACTGAGGACACGGCTGAAGCCGTCTGAAGTTAGGGCCGCGGCAGTTTGATGTATGATGTCATCTGCAGTCGTTTGTCTGCCTGTGTGCTTTAGTGGACTGTTTTAGAGGCCGTGGCTGGGCCCTGGCAAGGAGAGCTGTGGTTTGGCTCTCCTTAGAGGTGCCTAACTGACACTACTGGGGTAAATATTAGTCATCATGACCATGGAGGAGGACTCGGGTAGATTCTGCATAAAACCAAAAGAGAGAGAGAGAGAGGTATGTCTTGGATCACATTTCCAAAAAATGTGAACACTGTTGTGCAATCATGTTTGGTTTCAGACAATTATTAAGAGGTTTGGAGGGTGAAAAGGGAACAATACAATAATTCCATTTTTTGGAAGATTTTTGGAGCGTTCAATACTAAACAAAAATAATATTCAAATAGCTACTGAAGTAATAAAAGTCATAAAACTTTGTTGGGTGTTCACTTACGCCAGCCTTTCTCAGCTTTGCACTGGGACCTAAAGGGCATCCACATGACATTTTGACAGGGTCTAAGACGATATAGTAAATATTCACGTGTTATTAAGGTGTATGGTTTCATCATTCATATTAATTTATATATCATTTTGAGCCACAGCCATGCTATGATATATAAACCATTATCAATTTGACAAGATTGAGGAATCCAAAACAGTAGACCTCTTCAGTGTAATTTGTAATGTAGTTTGACCTGCAGTGATACCTGTGTGTGTGAGAGAGAGACAG